TCAGAATTAAATAATCATCAGCAAAGTTTTGATCTTAAAAGAGCGCTACAAATGTAGTTTTGATAGACGAATGTTGCAAAGGTAAAACCACTTAAAAGTTTAACGCCAAAATTCTATAGCTGCAAATATTTGTATATTTGCACTGTCTGACTCTTATAAGCAGTAGTTTGTACAGTAAATTGAATAATATACAAAAATTTTCTAATCTGATTACGTAATAGAAAAAAAAAACTAGAAGAGAAAAGTTTGTTTATTGCTGAAGTAAAATTGTAGAAAACAACATAAATAGGCTTGAAACTGCTACGTCAGATACAAGGTTAATGTCAGATTACCTACCTTTTTTTTATAACTACGTAAAAAAATTTTGTAACTTATGCTTTGCGATAATGGCAGCGTTTACTGAAGGAATAAGTTTGTTAAAGTTTTGCCAGATTTATAAAGGAATTCTGAGACGCCTACTTTCCAGTATTCACAAATTTTGAAAAACTTTTAAGAAACAGATAAAATTATTACTAACACTGTAAAATGCTCAAAGATTTAAAGTTGAACAGCTATGGATAATTGTTTTTTTATGACAATTAGGGATCGTTGGAAAAGTAGTCAGAATACTGATTTGCAGGAGGAAAAACCACATCAGTAGAGAGAAACTGTACAGTAAATTAAACGACGCAGAAATATTTTGTTAACTGACTATAAAAGACTGATAAAAGTAGAGCACCATGTCAATAGAACAGCAAAACTGTTCCTCATCGAACGTGTATTTTAACAGCTGAATAGAATACTTCAGGTTTTCAAGGAGTACTGAATTGAAGGAAGAAGTTTTTGCACTACGTGCCTACGTTGGGTAGAATAAATTGCAGTTTGTTCTCCTGCAAACTGAATCAAAGCACTCAAATAGCACAGAGCTATTGTTTGAGGTTTTAGCCACAGATGAGTTATATCGGTGACTACAACCCATTTGTAAACGTTTACTTTGAACTTTAAAAGGTTTTTCCTCATTTTCTGTTAGCTAAAAGTTCTTTTTAAACAGCTAAAAAAAATACAAACTTTTGTAAAAGTTTTCTTCAAATTTAACAACAAATTTATTAGCGCTAAAAATAAGTTTTGCTGTTAACTGCATTAATAGATAACTTTCTGAAAGCTTATAGGCAAAAGATTTCTTGCGCCAAATGTTACGTTCGCATTGAATGATTGAAAGACGTTTTTAAAAATTAAATGCCTAAATAAGGCTAATAATTAGTTGCTGATTTATACCGATAGTGTTCACAGCGAAAGTTCACTCAATCATTTGGTTTTAAATTGAATATGCAAATTTTTTTTCTGTGGTAAAATATGTCTATAATCTGTACAAAACTGTAATACGGCTTTTAAGAAAAAAGAAGTAAAAATAAACAAAAGAGTGAAATAAAAAGAGATTTTTAAAAAAAAGATTTTAAAGTTGTAAATTTTATTTAAAAAATTATAAGATACTAAATTGACAAAAAAAAAAGAAGCAAGATAAAACCTTATAAAAACAAACTTTTTATTTAAAAATACAGAACCTTTTTATAGTATACTTTTTGTTAAAACAACAAACATTCGGATAAACATAAATCTTTTAAACAGTACAAAATTTTGTAAAAATTCTTTTTATTTAGCAATTTTAAAAGAATTATTTTGTATTAGACAAAACTTTTTTTTTTTTTAGTGTTACTTTTTATTTCTCTAAATTCACAGTTAAACAATCGAAGTTTGCCGACTAAACTGAAAAGTTTGCTCAAATTTTTTTTTTATTATTGGTAGATAAACTGCTCAGTTTGTTCAACAAACAAAAAACTGTTTGATTAAGAAACAAATTTGCAACACGTTTGGATTTTATTTATAAAACTTTTTTCAACAACAAAAAAATTTTTTAGCTTTTATTTCTTCAGTTAGTCTAAAGATTTTATCTGTTGAATTTTCTGCATTCTATGGCAACAGTTAACGCTGGTACCTTTTCAGTTAATTACTAGAAAAGCTACAAAATTCTACTTGTTTTATACGGAAAAGTCGATTCAACTACAGCAAACCAAAGTAAAACCGTTTAAATATGGTAGTGACTTTAGTAACTATTTGTGATCTGTTAACAAATAATTCTTCTCACTGCGATAGTAAAAATCCAAACGTTCATCATCTGCAGTTGAATAGCTTTAGAAATTAATTTTAAAAAACTATCATAACTTTTACAGTGTGCCAAGCTTTAGTTTAATTGCAAAACTGTTCTGTTAAACTTCCAGACAGGTTTCTAGAAGTACAAAAACTCAAACAGAAATTGCTGATTAAGTGCTCAAAAAAGTTTTTCTAGTTATATGCTAGTTAATAATACTTACTTTTTCTTTTTTCACCTTTATTGAGATGAAAAGAGGGTGCTGTTTCTTGCACAGAATCTAAAACAAAGTACTGTCTTTCCTTATACTTTTTCCAGCATTATTGATACAAGTCGAATTCAGTTGTTAAAGTGTTGTTAGTAAGAGCTGTCTGCAAATTATTAAACTTCAGAGTTTAAACCATTTTTACTGATAATGTTGCAGAAAATAATGAACAACGTGAAATAGTTTGTATGGCGCAGAATTAATTTATTTAAAAAAAATAACTAAATAATTTATGTTACAAAATAGTCAAAAAGCCATAATCATTGTAAGCAGTAAAAAACGAAATAGAAGAAGGCAAATAACCAAGCGGCTGAAATCAAAGTTGTAGCAGTTGATGATTAGATTGATCGCCATTTTCTTGAAATTTACCTTGTTTTACCATTGTTTCCACGGTAGACCGTTTCTAAACAACAGTGCTGTTTAGACTTTTTTTTTAAAGCAAACTTTTAATTACCAGCAGCAGCAGCAGCAGCAGCAGCAGCAGCAGCAGC